CTTAAAGGTGCAACTCACCACGATGCCTCAGTGATCATGCGACAGGCTCGACAACCCAGACAAGCTGTTGTTGTCACTAGAAAACCTAAAGATGGAGAAAAAAGTCTCAGTGTTTCAATCAACTCTAGTACATCTTCAGTAGCAAGTGATGCCTCACAAGAATCTGGTAAGTCTAGTGGCATTACTTCCCAGCTCCCACCTGCTGAGTGTTCACTGATCACCTGAAATCCAGGAGTTCCTAAAGCAGCTCAGCATTGGCTGCATCAATCTCAGAGCCATGAGTGGAAACAGCATGGTTAATAAAACATTCCCGAAACAGACATTTGGAATAACTTTGTTGAAAAGAGAAAGAATTAATGGACTTCTAAAATAAAAGAACTCTTAAAAAAAACCCCAAGTGTGATTATATGACTTTCTGAAGACATACAAAAATAGTTATTGTAGTAACACATCTAATTCAAGGTGTAATGACAACTCAGTGAACAGTGATTCTTTAATGCTATTACAAGACTTTTTCCTCTGTGAAAGAGAATTTCAGTTTGAGCAAACAATGTGCTATTGTTCAATGTAGCAGGTGGCTATATCTGAAACACAAGGTCAGAGTTTGGCAGACTATTTCACTTTCAAGATAGTTTTGTTTTGTTTTTCTAAAGCATCAGCTGGAGATCTGTAGCTTTATTTCCATACTGTAAATAAACATTAGCACATTTGTAATCAATGGCAATTTCATAACTAATATCAAGTCAAATATTTGCCTTAAATTTTCTTAATTGAACAGATTTTTATAATTCTAGTAAATATATTTCCATGAATTCAAACACAACCTTCTTTCCCCACCTTCCCAGAGGGCCTTAAAATGACAAAAAGAGAAATTAAATGTTCTAGTTTTCTCTTCCATTTGGCAGTTTATGGTGCCTTTGCAAACAAACCAGAAGTTCATTTTTTTTGTAACAGATGTTTTATCTTTTCAGACTATGTGCTGCCCATCTGCTAACTTTCCATTTGTTTCCAGCAACTGGAGATACAATCTGCACTGTAACTCTAGAAAAAACACCTGCTGGTTTAGGATTCAGTCTGGAAGGAGGGAAGGGCTCTATTCAGGGAGATAAACCCATCATCATCAACAGGATATTTAAAGGTAAACACACTTCAATGTGTACAAGACCTGTTTCTAGCTGATGCAGACTTGTGCAGTTCATAACTGACTGCTGATTTATGCCTGTGGTATTTTTTTTTGCAAATGCAGCATTATCTTGTTTGATGCCAGTAATTTGTTGCCTGCTAGGACCAGGTGTTTTATACCAAACATGCTGGTGATCCACCACCCACAAGTATTTCACTAATAAGTGAAAGATCTGATAAGGTGTCTTCCATGTAAAGAATTGAAGAAAATCCATTTTCTTTCCCCAGGGACTGCATTGGAACAGAACAGCCCTGTTCAGCCTGGTGATGAGCTGTTACAAGTGCACACAACTGCCATGCAAGGACTCACTCGTTTTGAAGCATGGAATATAATCAAAGCCTTACCTGATGGGCCCATCACAGCTATCATCAAGAGGAAGAATCGGAGCTCTGTTACCACCAAGTCATCTGAAACTTTGTAAGAGGAAGAATGAGACTTCAAACAAAGGATTTCATTACTTGCAGCCCTTTGGCTACCACAGCAAAATACTCAGAAAGCACATGTGGAAAGCTCACAGGATCTTACTGCCAGTTACAGGGCAAGGTGCATGGGACAAAGTGGGATGTGTACAAAATGGGCATGCTTCTTATTTCAACATTCAGAAACAGATGTTACAAAGTGTAGAATTATAAAATAATGACTTTATTAATAATATACTGGTTGTAATAAAATATGTGACAGCTGTCGTACTTGCCTGTTTTAAGCCATTAACTTAACAAATACCAGAAGGACATCCTGGTGCTAAGTTTTTAGGGCTACTCTCTAAGTCTTGCTCCCTGCCTTACCTTCCCAGGAGGAAGAAATACATCTACAGGCCTACAGCTAAACAATGTCTTAGGGAATGTGCAAAGGGCAGAGAAAGGGGAATGCAGCTTTGTGTGTCAAAATAACAGTGTTCCCTAGAAAATGCCAGCTTTTCTATTCAAAACACAGAACACCCAGGACAGCCACAACCTGTCAAGGTAACTTTCTTCTAAAGTTGACAGAGCCATCTCAATTTGGCAAACACAGGCTGCGAAGGCATTTTCACAGTATTCCAAGGGTGGGCAGGAAGCTAAGGGTAATATAGAAGAGGTTTTCCTAACCTTCCTCTGGCCAGAAGTCTCAGAGAACTACAGCAGAGAGTAAGAAGGCCATTTAGAAACAAGTTACCTTCTAACCACACAGTTTTTTGAAATGCCTGTGTGCTCATTTTGTAAGGGAAAGTACCAGTGAGACTTGATAATCCAAGTATCTCTGAATTGAAATTATTCCAGAAATACTAAATAACTTGGAGATAAATCTATGCTTCAAACACTGCTATCAGCATTTTGGCAGTGCTCTCTTTACGCACTGTATGGAATTGTACCAGCAGCAGCACGTGCATCTATGGCAAGGTGCTCTGTGCAGCCAGTTGGTCTTCTCTGACCTGATTCACTAAATGGAGAGATGCAATGGCAGGATGGAAGTAGTGACTCACCTGCTGAAAGCCTGAGGGCTGCACTGGCTATTGTCCTTGGCCGTTCACCCTCCCAGACTTAGGAATTTTCTGTACCCTTCTTTGGTTACTTAATTTCACCAGGAAGAAATTAAGGAGCTCAGAAGCTATTTTCCATGCACTTAACACAATGCCATAGAAACAGCTATTGAGAGAAAGGGAAGTAGGATAGGCAGCAGAAGGTATTAATTGAATCCAGGCATCTAATTTGCTTTGGCCTTTCCTAAGTCAACTCTGTATTAATGCTTGAAAGAACATTCTTGACAAGCCTTCTGCCCCCACACTTCCAAACCCTTACCCAACTGAGTTGTTTATTCCAAAAAAACCCAACCAAACTATCCTCAAAACAAAATTTTTATAGGAGAAAAATATGAAAGGGATTATTTTTGTACATTTTTAAACTAGTATCTACAAGAAACTCTGCCACAACATTTCCATTTCCAGTTTGGTAGGACAGAAGGCTGAATATTAAGGGCTCTTAATTCCTTCTGGATAGAAGGTGTTAAGCATTCAGGAAAGGGATCCTAAAGTTATTCCAATGAAGAGCCCTAGTTATCACCTTTATCACTCAGAGCAATAAAATAAGCTAAATTATAAATAGCTAATAAGAAGCCACACTGTTTGCAAAATCATTTGCACTACTGGCAGAAATAGTGAGTGACCTCGGCTCTGCTCCTTGAACTTCCTGCTAATTAAATTGATGACAACCCTGGAAAGACTTGCCAGCATATTGCAACTCATGCCCAACAACTTCAGTACATTCAGAAAAATATGTATAAACCTCTGTAATATCAGGGCCGAAATCTCTCCTCAGTGAATTCATTACTCTTCCTAACCACAGAAAGAAGCAATTGGAAGTAAGGACCAACCAAGGGCAAAGAACCTATGAGGGTGAGTGTTCTCACCAAAACATCTTTTCCCCAGGGAGTGGGGCTTGTAAACGGCAGTGAAGGCTTTTCCCTCTTTTGTTGCCTTAAATTTAGAGAGATGTTAGAGGTCTAAGCAACAATTATGCTTCCTTGATGGCAAAGCAGGTGAACAAAGAACAATTTTAAAGGATGATTCAGGAAAAACAGTGAGATGTAGCAGAGAAAAATATTTATTTCACCACACTCATGGAAGTTTTTACATCTTTGTACACAAAGGAGATGACTAAAAACTTTGCTTGCAAAACTATTCCATAGGGTGAGACTTATAGGAAACTTTGTGTGCAAGTCCATGCCCTATATTAAATATAAAAAAAATACAGGGACAGAAAGCAGAACATATTAACCTTGTTAAGTAATCGAGTTACAGCATTAAAATCACAACCTGCATTTAAATTCCTAATTCAGCAATTAGTTTTCTTTTTGTAATTATATGTAATCCATAGTAATGTCTGACGTTCCTGCAGCAACCAGCACCATAGATAGCTGCTAAAGATGAACACATCATTGCACACATAATCAGGCACTGATTTCCCAAGATAATGCTGTGAGGCAAACCAGCCTTAGAAAAGAGCAACGTCCTCATGGCCTGTCAAGAGAAAGCTACAGAAAGATTATTTACCCGTTAAAACCTTTCACCACAGGAGACCAAAAGACATTCGAGTACAGTTCAATATGGTCATTTCAAGTACAATTTAAAAACAGTAAGTAAAGTGCTTAATCCACTTTATTTATTGCCACTATGTCATTTCAGTTTGTTTCATAATCACTGGGTTTAGTACAGAGAGGGGAAAGGAAGAATGTCTATTTGCAGGCCCACAGACCTGTGAATTGATTTGCACTGCTGGACCTTGACTTATTAAGAAAGAACTTAAGGCATATTTACCATCAGCACTAACATCTGCTGGAACAAACAAGTGGAATTCTCCACACAATTCAGTTTGCTCTGGCTTTTACCATTTGCTGGCTTGGACCCACTGAAGCATCTTAACTCTGAGTGCTGGCAGCAAAGGAGCTACACCTTCTTTAGGGAAAGGAACACTGTTCTGCAGGAGTCTACAAAGAACTTCAGAGACCAAACAGAGGTAACCTGCACCTGACTAACACTGTGGTGCTATGTGAGTTTTAGCAATGCTCCCCCTCACAGACACTGACAAAGTGTGGCCAAGAACAGATCCAGTATGTGCATCTTCTCCCTGCAGACAGCCACCACTGCTGCCTCCAGGATCCTTCCAGGCTCTGATGTGATATATTTCTAATTATTAAAATGAAGAATTTCATATTAGAAAATAATACATTGCTCTGCATACGGACAGGTAGAAAATGATGTTTTAAAAATTTATTTTACTCAATTCATTGTTTCATGTCACCTTTCTTAAGTATCTTTGCTAGTAGAAAAGTCCTGAGGCCAACTTCCCATTTTTACCCTCAAGCTGCCACGTGTTTTCCTGTCCTCAGCTGGTGATGTCAGCAACTCATCTTGTCATGCTTTTAATGCCTTAACAGCTTTGGTCAAGTTACTGTAAAATCCAGATATGCTAGCTGGAAAGAAGGAATCCACCACTGTCTGGGGAAGATAGCCACCAAGATCTGTCTGAAAGAAAGTGAGGAGCTGAGTCCTGTCTGGCTCCCTGCAAAGACAATGCAAGTGATTTTATAGGCAAGCAGTTTAAAAGCATCAAGAACTTTTCAATGACTCTTAAAAATATTAGGCTAGATATTTCTAAGAACATTTTTCTTATAAACAAACAGACAAGTTTCAATGAATGTAGCTATGAAATTACAGTTAAATTAGGTCCTAATTAGCTACATGATTCTGTTTATAAATTACAGCAATGTAATAAACAACTGAATACTCATTTACCAAAAATTAAGACCACACTGGTATGTTCTACTGAATCTCTGCTTAAGAGGTCAGCAAGAATCCTACCACGATGCTTCCTGTAACATTAAAGACTTCTCTCCAGGAAATGAAGAGAGACTAATTCATTGCAGAAAAATGGCAACAAAAGGTTCACTCAGTCATAATGATTATCAGGAAGACAGAAACATGCCATTGCCAAGAGGCTACAGGCCACACATGGCTAGACACAGATAACCACAACACACAATGGACTTCAGAATTCCTAACATTCAAACAGATCACTTCTTACCCTGGGACAGGTATACAGAAACAGCCACAGGGATAATTAAAACCTCTCACGAAATTTGGTTGCGGAGGACACAGTGGGTGTTCCACATTGGTGGCTGTAAGAAAAAACAATGAAGAAAAGTGTCATTCTGCCAGAAAATGGGAAGGAGTACTTGGTACTCAAAGCACCAGCTAGGCAGCAAATCCACTACATGAAAATATATTTCAAAAAATGTCAGTATAATCTTTTCAGTGTGGGGCTGTGCACACAAGGGGTCAGAAAAGACCAGTAAAAGGAACCACTCTGGCCTTAGAAGGGGGAAATCAAAGAAGTGTTGAATTTAGAAGCAATTGTTACTATGCTCTGCAGGAAGCATCAAGACACTTGGAGGGAGTTTTATTGAACTCATGTTGTGTGAGGGCACTGCTTTTCTTGAGAGGTCACTCAAGATACTTCCAACAAATCCATGTCACATGGATATGCCACTTGGCTGCTGAGAAGCTGCACTCTAGCCAGTATACAAATTTCTGGCAAGGTGTTCCTGAACGTGATGGGAAACCAGGACACCTGAACAGTGGGGCAGCAAAAGCACTGACCTGTAACAGTTAAGTGAAAGGATGAAAGTGAAAAAACCACAGAAATACCCTTCCATGCAGTGGCAGCCCCTTAAAAATCAGCACGATTTGTTTTCATAAAAACAATTATTTCCCCATACTGGAGTGGGACATTTATTCAATGACTTCACCAAAACCTAGAGGCTGTGCAGAAAATGTTAAAATGGATTTGGCCTAAAAGTGAAAGTTCTGTAAACTCTTAAAACAAAAACACCCACAAAATAATCCAGAACTTAATAGCAAATAATCACAAAAGCATAGCAAGGGAAGAAACCACAGAGCAATAACGTCATCATTATCTGAGTGTTAAGATGATTCTGAGAACAACAACATGGAGAGATAACTACTATTTTAATTTCTGATCAAGATCAGGTCAATAGCTACTGAACTGTTACTTAGTTTTTATTAGTTTATTTAGTTATCTTTATTAGTTTATTATAGCTATTTAGTTTTTGTTTTATATTTCTTTCTGGCAGTTTTTATTTCCAGTAGCTGCTGGTTATTTCCTAACATAACAGGAACACGTGGAGAACAGAAGCTCCTTACCAGCAGATAGCATCGTCCCATCTTCAAATTGCTTCATTGCTACCACATCCACAAATTCTCTTGGTGAAATAATCTTCATAAAAGCTGAAGGGGTTGTGGTCCTGCATACAGAGACAGTCTGGAAATCACAAACCAAAATTAAGTCACTTGATGCTTTCAAAATCACAGCAGAAAATCCCTGTACTTTCTGGTACACTTTCATTTACGCTTTCTAAACTGTATCAAGGAGTTCTACTACACCCTCTGTTGAACAGAATGTAAACCAGCAGAGTCTCAAAGCACTTCTGTGTGACTATGAAGGACAGTTTAATGGAGAAAACAGAGTGCTAAGGCACTGCTTCCAGGATAACTAAGGACAAACATCTCAAGGAATGCTGAAACAGAAATCTGGCACATCTATGCTCACAGGACAGTGAAAATGCTTCTCCTTCCCAGGATGCTGCCAAAGATAACATCTTTGTAAATAAATATATATATACACATATAACATTATATACATTATAACTTCATATGCATGGGATACAACTTGATAACCCAATTTGTTACACTGCAGAAACATTAACACAACCATCCCCTTCCATAGAGGCTCTGTGGTGCCAGGCTCCCCAAAACAGATGTTTCTACCCCAGTGCTAAGCACTGGTAAGTCTGTGAATTTCAAGTGGCAAGTTGCAGCATTCCTCAAGTTGAAGTTTATATGAATACTAAATGCCTGTAACGTTCCCCCAAGAAAAATCATTTGCCCAGGACTTGCACAAACATTCCTGGGACTGGCTGCATTTGCACTCTGGCTGCCTCTGAGCACCTATATCCACTTCAGACTTGGAGATCTAAACCCAGTTCCTTTTTAAGGTTCAGATCTTAAAAAACAAAAGCAGAAAAGGGAAAAAAAATAATTAGACTGTATAACCATAGTAGCAGAAGCTGCTGCTCATATATAACCCTTTTTGTCTGTAATGCTTTTGTAAAGCATCTCCCTTTTAATGACAGAGACTGAAGCAAAGCACTGGGTCCCAAGGCCAGTTAAAGGCAGAGTGTGAAGGGCAGTGCAGAGTGTTGTGTGCTGCCATGGTGAAAGGTGGGGCCTGAATGAATAGCTGATGACATAAACTCTTCACTGCTCTACTAAGCCTATGTATTGTTTAAACCTCCTCTTGCCTCATAGATAGCTTGTGAAAAATAAACATGCTTAGCTTGATTTGCAGCACTAACAACAACACAGTGCAGGAATCTTTAGTGTTATACATTTGTGTATTTTAAGCGCTTAGCCAAGAATATTGTTAAGAGAACATACAGAATTTATGGAAAAGGAAAAAAGAAAATTAAAGAGCACAAAGTTCCTTTTCCCAGTATCATCAGGCTGACTCAGACAGAGACACTGTACAACTTTCTAAGGCCTCTTTACTTCCCTGTATGTAACACTGGTTGTCTCAAGAAGCACATCAGGCACAGCCTGTGCAGAACCCAACGCTGTTAAACACACGCTGCGACAATCTCCCCAGAACTTACATCACTGACGGCTTCGATCACCTCGAAGTCCTTCACGTTTTGGTCCCACTTGGTCCTGAGCCCTCCGGCCACCGGCCTGATGCACTCCCAGACATCCTGCGGCCGGGCGGGCAGGATGCCTTCGCCCTTGTATCTGCGGCGGCACAAAACGAAACCAACTCCCGCTGCTCTACCCAGCCTGGCCCCGGCGACCTCGGCAGCGCCGCGGGGCGATACCCACCCACCCATTTACCCACCCATTTACCCATCCCGGGCAGCGCCGCG